CGCTGGCCACTACAATTTGCATGGAATATACAAGTTGTACACTGTTCTACCCCGGATCCGAAGACATGTACACAGCACAGCCAAATCACAGGTTGATCATCGATTTCTGATCAAAGAAAACTGATCAATTTGATCATCCAAGAAAACAATAAAGGTTAACTTTATTAATTTTCATAATGGATTACACTAGGTCTCATATCTTATTTATTTCTCCTTTCATGAGATTGAATTAAAAAAAAATAAAGAGATTTTAAAACATAATGAATAAAAATGTTTTGTGTCATGAAATTTAATAAATCATCGACATCAAAATCAGTTTTATATTTAAACACCTGTGTACCTTTGCATTTATACCGGTACTAGGAATTCGGACCACTAAATTTTAATCAGCCCCCATCTGCCGGTTGCACATGTGGTGTGTGTACCTTAAGCTTGTACATGTGCATGCAGAAGAGTTATATTATGCGACAGTCTACAAACACGTACAATACGTTCAAAAATAAATAAAAAGAAAATAAATAAATAAATAAAATTCAAAATAAATGAAGAGAAAGCTGTGTCTTCAGATTGAACATAATTATTCGCCCCTGTTTTTGTCTCTAACTTAATGAAATTTAAAAAAAAAACTTTTTCATTTTAGAGAAAATTATAAAAAAAAAAAAAAATGACAATAAGAGACCAGAAAACTAAACACGTAAAATATGAAAAAAATCTTTGAGGCAAAAAAACAAAGAAAGCTCTATGAAAGGCGATCTTTAAAAAGCGAATGCTGTCCTCTCTTGACCAGTTGTCCGAGTGAAAACGGTGCGAATCAAACTTTTCTAACCTGTAAGAAACATATTTTTTGTCCTGATTTTTTTCCCATCCACTGAGAACTATTTCTTATTATTGAAAAATAAACATCACTGACCTCCCTACCCATTCTTGGAGTCGGAAGACGGCTGTGATGAAGTTAACTTTTTTAAAGATAGTCTTATGTTCTTTTTATTTACAGAACATTTTATAAATTATATCTTCAATAAAAATTTACAATAATTATTCCATTCATCTAGCTTACGATAAATCATATTATTTTCTCATAGATTTGTAGAAAACATTTGCCTAATATACGCTGAAGATTTCATTTAATTATTTCAGCATTTTCACAACAGTATCATAGTAATGAATTGAAATCAGTGTTTAGTTTTTGTCATTAGCAGAACATTTTAAAAGAAATAGGGAAATGTCTTGATTATTTAAATAAAGGAGAGTAATAATTGAAGGGTTTTTTTTAGCCCTGAATTTTATTTTTTTTATTAATTATCAAATTAGCAACGACAGCTCATCAACAGTATTTATCAGTATTTATCGGACTCAACAGTAATGACGACAGTAATTATCAGTATTTATCAGCAACAACTTAAATTATCAGCAACAACAGTAATAATAACAGTAAACATAAGTAATTATCAGCAAGAACAGCACAGTATCAGTAATTATCAAACATTATCAGTAAACTTTGGGATTCTCAGCACTTTTTTCGTCCAGTAGTGTAAAATTTCCTCATTTCTTCTGGCTTTTCTTTCTATCTCCCGGATATTTCAAGCATTCCACTAAGTTTGCATTATTTTCTGCACAAGAGTTCATTTCTAAATAGAAACAACCTTCCTATCTGCAGGAGGCTAATGACTAGGAATAAAATGAAGAAAACATATTAAAAGCTAAGAAATCGAGGATATCTAATATCTGGTTTTTAGGACTTTAAATATGATTCCGAACCTTTAAAATGTATCTTTTACATTTTTTTTCTTCTGATTATATTGATAAGTTTATAAAAAGTTAATTATAAAGCACAGCTTCTCGCACGCACATAACACGAAAACATCAAACGATTAGGAAGCCAATTTTTATTTCAATCTAGGAACATCAATAGGGATATAATGGATTATTCAGGTGTACATTATCGTTCAGTGAAGATTACAGTGATTATAAGTCTTTGATATATAAGAATTGATAAGAAGTTAAAGTGTCATAAACAGGTACGCTGATTCATTTTCGTCAATTATTTCTTGAAAGAATACTGGTCCCATCAGTTTTTCCTCTGCTATTCTTGATAACAAAGATGCAGAAGTTTAACACCATCATGTAAGTTGTATATTTTGAAATGCCCTCGTATGGCAACAAAGCGAAGGTTAAGCTTTTAAAACACAGATCAAATTTCTTGGTACTAAATTATAGCCTTTTAACAAGAAATACAAAAAATAATGTTAAATATAAAACCCTAGCTCCACCTGTTCAACGGTTATGACCAAGGTTAACGTTTTGAAAGGTAGGACAAACTCTGGGGTCAAGATCAAAGGGTCAAGGTTGTTGGTTTCTAAAGAAAGGCCTTATCTCAAAGATTACATATGGGAAGTACGAAAGTGCTGGCCCTTACCGTTCAAAAGTTATGACCAAGGTTAAAGTTTGTAAAAAGTAAACTCGAAGACCAAGGTAAAAAGATCAAGGTTCTTGATATCTAATGAAAGGTCTTCTCACAAGAATTTTATATACTTACTGTTCAAAGGTTATGACCAAGGTTAAAGTTTGTAAAAAGTAGGTCAAACTCTAAGGTAAAGGTCAAAGGGTAAAAGTTTTTTGATATCAAATGAAAGGTCTTCTCACAAAAATTACATATTTGATTTATGAAAGCCTTAGCCCTTATCATTCAAAAGTTATGACCAAGGTTAAAGTTCTTTTTGTAAGTGATGAAATCTCCAAGGTCAAGGTCAAAAGGTCAAAATTTTTCTTTCCAAATAAAAGATCTTGCCACAAAAAATTGATATTTGAAATATAAAAATCCAAGTATCTATCGTGTACAAATTAGGGCCAAGGTAAAAGAAGTTTAGATTTTTTGTGTAAAAATGGGTCAAACTCCAAGGTTAAAGGGTCAAGGCTCTTGATATCAAACGAACGGACTTGTCACAAGGATTACATTTGTGAAGTATAAAAGCCCAATTCCTAACTCTTGAAAGATTATAGTCAAGGTTGTATTTTTAAGGTAGGCCAAACTCCAAGGTCAACGTCAAACGGTCAAAGTTTTTGGTATCCAATTAAGAGACTTGTCACAAGAATTACATATTTGATATATGAAAGCCTTAACCCTTACCGTTAAAAAAATATGGCCAAAGTTTTTTTGTTAGTGCAAAAATCACCAAGGTCAAGGTCAAAACGTCAAAGTTGTTGGGATTCAATAGAAAGACTTTCTACAATTAAGCTGCATTTATCATTGATAGTGTGCAAATTCTCATTTCTCTATCACTGAATTTCCCACAGTGTTATGTATCACAAAAAGCTAAAACCTTAAACCACGAAGCCATTTTCCGACGACGGAAAAATACATCAAAAGCAAAAATAGATAAGTAAATCTGTTTTACATAGGGTCATTATTTATAAAAGATAACATACTTAATGCACCTTTGCAAATAAGTTAGACAAAGTAAAGTACATATGCTTCAAAGATTGTCGACCTAAGACAAGTGTACTTGTATTTCTTATCTTAAACACGAGATGCGGAAGACGTCTGCCTCCAAAAATTAAATGTTCCTTTCAATGGCGGAACACAACATAGAATTACACCATAGGTAAAGCATTCATAAAAAAAAATGAGGACTTTACAAATGTATGACGACTGATGTGTGTTTGGTTATATTTTTGCAAGACGCCACTGTTTTGTTGAAATGGCAGACTGAAAGAAATTTTGTTGCTGCAAATTAAAACATCTAGAAAGCATAAAGAATCTATTAAAAAACTACGGAAGATACATTGTAATAAATAAAACATTCATTTTGTTTTACTAGAAATAAACGCCCAACTCTCTCAATATCCCTTTGAGACAGATGAATGACAATGTTTGATACTTTAACTCTTTACAACTTACAGAATTGCTATGCAACATACATTGAATCCTCGCGTCATAGAAATATTACTTTACCAATTCCCCGCAAGCACTTTATAACGGGGTACAAATTTCTCTAAAGTTTAGCGTAAATAATATTCTGAAATAATATTTTAATTAGAAAAAAGCTTTTCCTATTTTATGAGATTCAAGCAAGTATAAAATTGTTGGAATTTGGCAATAAATTGAAGATTAAATGAACTTTTATATGATAATGCCTGATTGCGGGGAAACGGTAAATGCGTGATTTTGCGTTAGAAATAGCAAATGGTATATGAGTTAAAATGCGTGACTGCGGGGAGGGGTGTTAATGCCTATTCAATTAACATTATACGTTTCACACATTATTAAAGATATGTAATGAATGTGTAGGTAAAATCTCTATTATTGCACCAATGTAAACAAAGTTTTGTGTCACTAAAAATAAATATCTAAAATGGATACGAAATTTGTTTTAAGAATCTTACAGTTTTCATCTATAAATTTATCGCTTGTAAATTATATCAACTCCTACGTTAACACATTACGTTAATGTTCATTTGCACTTTATTACTACTTAGATATGAATATTTTCATTAAAATGCAAAAGATTGGTCAGAAAAAAAATCGTTCCTTACAATTCTTATGTAAAATCTCATAATGTGCTTACATTTCATTTGTTCCAATTGTGATTCTGTAAAAGATATAATTTGTGTTAATTATTGAAGCTAAAAAAAGAAAAAAAAAACAAAAACAAAAAAAAAAAAAAAAAACCAAAGCAAATCTCTGCGAAAAAATCCAAGAATAATGAAATTTGCATCTTTTATTTTTCAACTCTCTTTGATACAATCTGTTAGAGAATGAGTGTTTTTTGCTTCTTGGCGTGGAGGAAGAAACATCAAAAACATAAATAATGTTAATCTGTTTTATCTATTGAAATTAAGATAAAAGATAAAATATCTTCTGATCATTTCCGTATCAGATATCCCAGGCAAAATGAAGTTCATGTGATTCAAAATAGGCTGATTAAAATAAGAATGTTGTAACAATTCAAGACTTCTTTTCATTTATCTCAATCATGCATTGCAAACAATGTCTGTTTCAGAAAATAAAACTGTTATGTTCCCTACCAGAATAGACATAACTATAGATGCGTTTACTGGGATAAGACACAAAAAATGAGGACTTTGCAATTTGTATATATTTTGCTTTCTCTAAGGGAAGCATTTGGACACTTGAATTTAGCTGAAAATGACACAATGGAAAACGTAGAGGTATTGCCCAGTACAACATCTGACAAAGCATCTAGCGTTCTTAGGGATATTTTGAATCAAGAAACATTAGTGCGTTTTTCAATGGTACAAAAAATTCAGAGTTTAGTGATGGATGCATTAGATAGAAAAAACACTACCAAAGTTATGAAGGCAACACTTCTTGACGTGATAAAAGAAGTCCGAATTTTGGAGGAAAAAGAAAAGAGAATGAAAGACGACAATTTGAAACTCAATCAAAAGCTTGTGTCTATTCAAGCAACGGTAACTGAAAGAGAAAAACTAGATAAGTTTCAAACTGTGAATGTACTTTCTTTACAAAATGAAACCAATGATTTACATCAGAGGATTAATCAAATAAACAAAACAATGAACAAACTGGAGGATAGCCTTGCGATATTGTCCAGTTCATTTTATGAAGAATTACAGGATATTCGTGAGGATCAAAATTCATCAAAAATGGCACTTCTAAACATTTCCTCCGAACGTTCATCAGGTAAGATTACTTTCACTGTATTCAAGATCACTTTATATAAATGATGTCATGACAAGTAGCACATATAAGTCGATCTACAAAAAGGCGGTCGGGTCTAATTTTTACAAGAGATATTGACTAAGACATTAAAAAGACCCTAACAATAATGAAAATATGCCATAAAACGAATTTTTCTTCTTAATGGTAAATTACATGACAGCATTAAACCACATCAAAATTAGCATAAGATGTTGGTTTGGCGTTAATGAAATACCACAAAGCAGGCCTAACACTAGCCATTGCTGTGATGGGCTTGTCAATATAAAGTCGTTGAAAGCAGTTTGTATGTAGTGGAAGGTTGATCAAGTAATATTTTCACAGCAGAACAAAAATGTAGTTCTCTGTGCTTAGTTAATATGGTGATGGAGTTTGGATACTCTGGGATACAATAACTCACTGGTCGTGACTCATAAAAAATCTTACAATAATGCATAAACTGTGTTGACTACGTCTTAATTATAACATTTTGATGTTTTTTTTAAATTTAATTTTACGTCATTTCTTATGACAATCGTCTTTTTTTTCTTACAGTTAATAGATGAAGATTAAATAATAAGTTATGCATTTTATAGCTTTTCCATTTTTTGTATTTATTGTTTTGAAGCAGTTTAAGCTTTTTTTTAAGTCGCTTCATTAAAGTACGTCCTATTTGCAGTTTGTGAGACTGGATGGATTCCATATGGTGACCATTGCTACTACTTTTCTAGGACAACAACAATATTTCAGGATGCAATTGTGAGTTCTTGTAATAACTCATAAATAGCTTCAATAATTATTTCATTTCTTTCCTGATTATTCGAAGGGAGATAAAATGAGCACCTCCACTTAAATTCACCTGGTCTAAAGACCCCAGGGTCCAGGAATAGATGTTAATAATTCATTGAAATTTAGTTCCGAGTTATAGTGTATACGTTATGTAGGTATTCCTATTCATGTGGCTTGTTTGGGACTCCTGTTGATCGTCAAATTACCTTACGGTCTTTTCAGATTGCCGCCTATACATGTACCACTATACTGATACCGAATTTTTTGGCTTGGCAAAATATTTATTACGTACTTGATTTATGTAAAATCATTATGTTTTATAACAAAAGGGGATAATAAATTATGCTAAGAATATATTTTATTAAAAGTTAATTTTGATTCAAAATGCTATCTTATGAAGAATTACAGTGCTTTATATGTAATGTCTTGATAAAAAGATTTAATCACAGTTGCATGTATCGTAGATGTATCAAACATGTAGATATTTAGTCACATTTTTCAATTTGCTTCATGTAAATTTGAATTATCGCATAAAAGCCTCGTAAGGAATAAACCTATGAAAGATAGATCTGGCTCATTTATAATGACTTCATAATTCTCATTTTTCCGCAGTAAATTAAAGTTTTTTAAAGAAAATAAGAAGAATAAAGGACCTTTATTATTTACCAATTTGTGTATTACTCAATTTTACTGTTGATTTAACGCAATCACGTGACCTTGTGATCTGACTTTCCGGATCACCGTACTGTGTTTTTCTGAATCCATATCAGCACTATCTGAAACAGATGACGAAGTAGGCAGAAACACGACGTTTTTTTTTGCGCATTAAAAAGTTCCTTAACATGATGCTTTTTTTAATGGATAAATATTATATATTTGATCTCTGAACTTTTTTTTACTATATCTTGCTAGTTGTAAGGGGGAATATAATTTATGTATCATTAAAACAGTAACTTGATCCTAAGAATTTCGAGTCTCGTTTGATCTGATGATCTGCGCCTGTCAACGAAACGTGATACAACCATTCGGATCAAGATACTGTTATAATAATATATATTTATCAAATTCATGATAAGAGAGATCTGTATTAGTAGTAAACATTTATTTAACATTTAAAAGTACCTTTTCAGACAAGTTGCTATGGAATGGGTTCAACGCTAGTAGAGCCAAATACAATTGCAGAGGAAAGATGGATGCTACTTCAGGGTGTTGTTACAGGTATTTTATTTACACAATTTGATGTTAATTTATTCCTTTATATGTTACATGGACATGTATGTTTATGAAAGCCTGTAATTGACATGTAAAAGTAATATCCGGTGGCCACCACAATTTTTTTGTGGCAGCCATTACTTTTTTTTGTGGCGGCCATTACTTTTTTGTGGCGGCCACCAGATAAAAGATTTTTTCTACGTGCCACCTACTAGCTTCTGTATATGTTTAATGCCTTCCTTGATTGTATGCTCAATCTAAAACAATACGTATTTTAAAGGTAATTGTCAAACCCTTTGACAGCATTTCGATGTCACCATACTATGATTTTTTTTTGTATGCTTGCATGAAAATTGTATGCCCAATCTAAAACAATACGTATTTTAAAGGTAATTGTCAAACCCTTTGACAGCATTTCGATGTCACCATACTATGATTTTTTTTTTGTATGCTTGCATGAAAATAAAAGGTGGAGCTTGAAAAACACCGTAACCTTGTTATAAAATTAAAGTTTCTCAACTAGGTAATTGACATTATTTAGAAACTTTCTTTCCAAAAATTTCAGTTTTTAGTTTTGATACATACCTTATTAAAATACCTTTGTTTAAAAAAGTTAACAATCAAATATGTTCTTCTATTGACTTGTCCAGGTAAAGCTCTTTGTCTTTGAAGATGGAGTTGACTGCATAATATGCCTATGACATGAATATGACAAACGACAGTGCTGAACTGTCAAATTTTTTTTAGCAGATAGTAATGCAAAACTATCAGAAAAAGTGTCATTTTTGCTGATTAAAACGTTGTGAAAAAAAATTAAAATGAATTGAAAGTAGTATGCTTCTTTTTATCTTAATGTGGCAACAAAATATGCACTGATCCATTTGTAGCATGATATATGCAAGGATGAAAGAATATATCTAAGATTAAATATAATTTAATGTATTCTCAACATAAAGAACTACCTTCACATTTTAAGAAGCATTTTGTTTTATTCCAGGCATTAAATACATATGGATAGGCGTCACAGATTTGCTTCAGAATCACAGATTTGAGTATATCTCTAACGGCAACGATGTTCAGGAAACGTACAACAACTGGGATAAAACATTAGGCCAGCCTAACAAGGGGAACACAGAACATTGCGTTGGTCTCGCTACTCAGTATAAAGGATGGCATGATTTTTCGTGTGACAGGAAATTTCATTTTGTATGCACCAGACGGAAAAATTAGTTATGGCCAATTTAATAAAACATGAACATTTACATGTAAATAAATATTTGTTGAAAGAAAAAGAAGAAATTATTTGTCCACCTTACATGCTATATGTCCAGTACAGAGGGTATTTTAGGTGAGACTATAAAAGGAAAATTTTCGTCCCCTTTTGTGTTCGCCCATTTCGCCCTTAGCTCTAGTGGGCAAGTTTAAAACAGAACAGTTCCAAGAATACAGTATAGTTTCTTTTACAAAAGTGTGACCGGCGAAATTAAGGTCTCACACAAAGGAAACATTTTCACTGTATGTTACTATAAAGCTTTAATCAAATTAAATATAAATTTATATTAAATAATTAACTAGACTCTGATCAGATAACGTAATTCATTGAATAGAAAATGAAGATTAATCCTGAGACAAAAGTTTGAGATCAGAAAAAAACGCCCTATGCAAGAAAGAAAATTGAGAGTAAACATACATACCCCGAAATACACATGGGTTTCAGATGTTGACAAGCAGTCTACACACCATCCAGGAAGTTGCATCATGCGCACCTAAAAAAACGTTCCTTTTAATTCCATGGCACAATGCTGCTAAAGATATGACATTCCTAGTACATGACTCCAAAATTAAAGTTGCAGACCGGATAAAAAATTTCCGAAAATGTCTTTGAGTTATTTTATTTTTCATATACTAGTGCATCATTTTTTTTCTTGGTCCATAAGGGGGTGGAAATAGGAGACAACTCTTCCATACAGATTGTTGGGATTTCGGCTAAATTTCTGTACAAGTTCATCAATATACATCTAATGAGTGAATTATTGAGGAAAACAATGGAATGAAATGCAAGTCACTTCTTTGTGATCACTTTTTGTCTGCCTTTATACATGTAGCTTATAAACTTTATATATGTATCTCTGTATCCTTGTTCTTTTTTTATTTCGTCCTTCTCTTAACACCTCTGTTCTATTGAAATTCTAGGATTTCTAGAATAATTAGGTTTTGAGTGAATTATTGTTTGGAACTATGCTTAATATTTTTTAAAACAATATCATCCCGTGTTAAATTCTCCCAAAAAAAATATTTTTTTTAATTGAAGATCTAGATTATGAATAGCAAATTGAAATCTTTTGTTTTAATATTTATAAAATATTAACTATCTTTATTTATATTCATTTATTTTATTTTTTCATTTATATAATTATATTTATTTTTATTTTATTTTTATTTTATTTAATATTTTTTGTATTCTTATATCCTTCCATTATTTAGAGTTCTATACATGTACAGTGTATGAATTAGTACATCTGCCTTGAATAACAATAGTGGTGTAAACTATTTACGATTGGTAATGTGATCTGACGTAAATGCTTGCAGAGAACAATTTTATCTCCGTTTTACAAACAAGTTTCACGCAACGATAATTATTAACACCTTGTCTATACTATAGCTTCTTTCAATATTCCTTGGTACACGATTGACTTATTTTTGGAAGAGCAAACACAAGCCAAACAAAAAACAAACAAGTAAACAAATGCATATCATCTCTCATGTGTATGACCTTGTCTGCATGTGTTTCTTTGTTTATACTATATAAAACTTGTGCATAAGCATATTTTATTTTAGAAGATCCATCCCTATATTTCTTAAAATTATTTGCATTAATTTAACACAATAAATATAATATCGGATATTATACACCTATTTACTGGCTATGAGGACAATAGCAAGTTTATCGTCCCCCAAGACAGCAAACTATTTCCCTAGGCTCAGGGGGATGATAAACTTGCTATTGGCCGAATAGTCAGTAAATAGGTGTTTTATTATACCGATACTAACTTTACTTTTGCTTTTGTTACGTCATAACATATACGTCACAATCCGTATAATCGAAGTTTTCCTAGATGAAAAGCGAGGGAAATCGAATGCTGCTGTTGAATAGTTTGAGGACTATTCACCATGGGCAAATAGCACAAAAACTATTTCACGGCAGAGACTGTTTAGAAAAAAATAGCATGTTTATTCGTCTTATTTTTATATAGAAAAAATAAACAGAGGTATAATATACCTTTCTATCGATCACACAATTTTAACAGCTACAGAAGTGTTTGTTTTATAAAACTTAATATTAAATTCAAAGTTCATTTTTTAGCCTTGGTTGAATAATTGACGGACTACTGTAACGCAGTAAATAGGATAAGACGAAACATAATTCTACCTACAACGCTAAAAACGAAAAATATTTTAATCGTTTTCTGTCCAACATAATTTGACCCTTGTCGGATAGAAATTAACATCATCGCAAAATTATAGAATTTGAGATTGGTATGCATTTCAGTGAAAGAAAAATATCTTAATTTATGACAAGACCACCCCATTGGAAATTGGTATGTTTTCAACGATTTAGATAATGTAATGAATAAATGTTAAATGAATGGTTATATCACAAGGCAAGGAGGACATTATTGTTTTTTCATGGATTTTAAATTCTACATAAACGTTTACATTGATTAATAACCTGCGGTGTACGGTTCAGTTGTTTTAAATCATAACTTCACGTTGTGGGGAACGATATACCGTGATTACTGAACAGTGTTTTAGCAGATAAACATTTCCATTATTGCAATGGATTCTATTAAACATTGTATTGCAGGACTTGTAATAGCGTTTGTTTTTGGAGCAGCTTACGTTTTCGAGGCAAGATTGAGTGATATTTACAAAGACGTGAAGAGGCGTAATGAAGAGTTATCGACCATTAGACTGAAAAATAAAGACTTAAAAACGAAAGTAGGCACATTAGAGGAGCTTTGTAAAGCTACAGGTACTGAGGCTAAAGAATTCGTAACAGAAAAGAAGACCATAGAAAAGTTAAACAAGCGAGTTGAAGTTTTAGAATCGAGTTTGGATAATGTGGAAAAACGAGTGCAAATGTCTGACCAAAAAGGTAAATTCGATTTAGACAGTTGTAAGTGTATATAAGATCATAACAATTTTGAACTACATAAAAAAGAAAATAAAGACTTCACAGGACATTGATGAATATTATAATATGTATTGAATATTTGAAGACCTAAAAGAAAGAAAGTTTAATAAGATTTTCTAAGTTATCAGTCGCATTGAGAGAAATAGCCTGAAATATCTGACATTTTTCAGGCTTTTCTTCACGATTGGTTATTTCACGTGTCAGGACTCCTGGTACATAATATATTAAAATCGTGAAGTAAAAAACAAGAATCAGCGGTGTTGCATATATGTTATATTTATAATTAAAGGAATTATTTTATTTAACTGACAAAACTGACATAGAAATCAAGTTGCTTTTTTTCATTGTCTTTGATTTTTCTGAAATAAAACTAATTTAAAAAAAATATAGATTTAATTTTCTTAAGTATTACGTTTATTAAATACAAGATGTGTTGTTAGATAGCGATGTCCCTGTTTGGTAGTGTATGTTGTAAGATTTCTCAAATGCAAGTCAAACTTCGAGGTAAAAAAAACATAAAATGTTTTCCAAAAAAGACTATTGGCGATGAGTATTGTGACGGGGCTCCTCCCCGTCACGGGCACTGGTTCATAATGACTATAGTTTTTATTTAAATCGTTTATTTACATATTTACAACACAATATATATATATAAGAAATCACAATGTTCACAATACGAAAACACGTCCACACTCATTGACTTTCAGACTTGTTCTCCTCTCTCTCAAACGTGTTCCCAGGGCATGGCCATACCAAATCTCCTTTTTTCCCCACTTTCTCACACAAATCAATCTAATGCTCACTTTCATCTCTCTGAACTCGATCACGCACACGATAACAGAAATGACAAATAAACAAATTATAAATCCATGCTTGTCCACTCGCTTTCTCTCTAACTAACTAAAATTACACTCTTGGGATACAGGGCTACAACGCCTGCGCCGCGCACCTGCAACCTATCAGAACTTCTAACTCTCTCATTTACAATTAATTTACTTGGGTGATTGCTCTGTGACATACCTCTCCTCTTAAGTGTGGCGTCCCGACACACTAATATAATTACATGTAGTAGCCTGATAATGACAATTTGATATCGTTTACAAAATTAGCTGTCTATACAAGAATCACACATTCATAGATAAAGAGACCTTACTACACACAGAAATAACAAAATAGTTTAACATGCATACACATTTCATGTTTTACCTTTTTTCTTAGATTTTTGCATTTTATCTTTACATTTTTTTTTAAAAACAAATGTTCATTTTAGAATTTGAAATACATTATGTACACAACCTCCATATACACTTAAAGTAGTAATTTTTTTTAACTGATATAATCTTCTCATAATTAGATATGCATCTTGCACACTCTCACTAGCTTCTTTGCATCAGGACTAAATGAATTACATTCACCATTTATATACAAGGAATCATTTGTATCATGCAACATTTTTCAGAATATCAAAGACAAAGATACAAATTATTTTACTGGAAATCCCGAGCGAGGAAATCATTACACACAACATCAAATTTTTTCTCACCAATTCTTATTAAAAAGTCGCCTTTTCCAAATTTTTCCTTTACCAATTCTTATTCTAAAGTCACCTTTTCCCAATTATGTCGACACGGTCGCCCGTTGCCACAAAAAAGGTCACTCCCTAGGCCGTTTTCTCTACGTCTCCACACACGAATTCTTCACTGAAAATCATCTCACTGGATCCATTATCAATCAACTTGAAGACCATTTGACACTTTACACTTCCTCCAATTTTGGCGACACAAAATTGCGGATTTAAATGACAATCACCTCCTCCAGTTTTGGCGACACAAAACTTGAGGGTAAATTTTCAACACATTTTTTTTACAGACCGACGAGACTTCAATGTCCGTCTTTTGTCACCGGCTGTCCTCAGGAGTACTAGATGCGAACTTTAGTTTTCGGAATCGGCATCTTTCTCATCGTTACACTGGAGTGCGAGGTGCCCTACATTCCGACAGTTGTTACAGATTGGTCTCCCGTCGATGATCCTGGGATTTCGGTCCGGTCTTTGGCGGAATCCATGGCCTCGTCCTCGAAGGTTTTGCGGAATGTATTGTTGCTTAGAGGTGAAACGTCCGATTTCGGTAGCCATCACCGACACCTTAGCTGTGAGTTCTACAAGTGCAAGGGACTTTTCCAGCTCTCCTGTTCTCATAGAGCCGCACGACGTACATCTATCTGCAACTGTTCCCCTGGCCATGGGACATACACTAGAATGTTGTTACACTCTTCCCTCTTTGCGTGCTTGAAAGCTTCCTCAATTGTTTTAAGATTGGGAAATGAAACATACTTCTTGATTCCCGCTTTTGATACTTGAAAGAAATGCTCCTTAGTGAGTTTCTTTTTGCCGTCTAGGCATGTCCATGGAGCTTCGTTATATTTGCAGCATAATTCTTTATAGTTAACGTCTCCTGTTTTTCCGAAAGAGTTAATTTTACAAAATATCTGTTCACATAGTAAGTTAATCCCATCGCTGCCACCATAATATGTGACGGGGCTCCTCCCCGTCACGGGCACTGCTTAATAATGACTATAGTTTTTATTTACATCGTTTATTTACATATTTACAACACAATATATATTTATAAGAAATCACAATGTTCACAATACGAAAACACGTCCACACTCATTGACTTTCAGACTTGTTCTCCTCTCTCTCAAACGTGTTCCCAGGGCATGGCAATACCAAATCTCCTTTTTCCCCACTTTCTCACACAAATCAATCTAATGCTCACTTTCATCTCTCTGAACTCGATCACGCACAATAAACAACGATAACAGAAATGACAAACAAACAAATTACAAATCCTCGCTTGCTCATTCTTTCTCCCTAACTAACTAAAATTACACTCTTGGGATACAGGGCTACAACGCCTGCTCCGCGCACCTGCAACCTATCAGAACTTCTAACTCTCTCATTTACAATTAATTTACTTGGGTGATTGCTCTGTGACAGTATTA